ATATACAACATATAATCGTCACTTCCCTACAGGTACTGTTTACTATCAAGGTGACAGTGCCAACTACTGGCCTGGCATACGTAATACAGAGTTTTTGGCCGTTTTCGCGGATATGTGTAAAAGCAAATCGTTTTGAAAATGTTATCGTGTATACGTGAAACTTTATAAAAACACAATTGAAAAACTTTTCCGTTTTTGACTACATCGTTGTCGTGTAAAATTAAATGTTTTGGTAACACTTCAATATGGTCTCTCTTGTTAACATTAGTTAATGCATTAACTAACATGAACTAAAAATGAACTATATATATATATATACTGTATATTAATGTTAGTTAATAAAATATTCATCTTAGTTCATAGTACATTAACTAATGTTAACATTTTTACTCGATTTGCTTCAAACTTCATCAGAATAATGTCAAAACACGTCAGATGCAAAACTGGGAAGGGATTATTCATAGCTTAAATACTATTACCATGGCAACGCATCAAACTTTAACATTTGTTTCCTGTGTTTTTGAAGCAGATAACATGCTTAGAATTTCATGAAACTCAACACACACATCAGCATTAATGATAGTTAGACACTGGAAAAAGCTCATAAAGGGGCGTGGAAGAGGCACTCTATAGCGCCACCTTATAGTTAGACACTGGCAAAAGCTCATAAATGGGCGTGGAGGAAGCGCTCTATAGCACCACCTTTTGACAAAACTGAGGGGCTTAGTTTTTCCTACGGTCACCAAACTTGGAACATATATTGTTCTCATCAATGCGGACAACTTTCTAATTTGCAGTCATTAGCTACGACCAACAGGAAGTCGACTATTTTGATTTGAATGTGGATTTTTGGAAAAATATGGCTGTGAATTAATGCATACTAGTATGAAAATCATGGAATTCACACCAAACTTTGTCAACATGATTGCAAAATATTGAGGAACTTAAATTGCGAACGGATTTAGGATATCTTGAACGGTGTTGCCATGGCAATTTATTAAAGTAACAGTAAAAGAGGAAACAGTAATTGTCTTATATTTTTAAAGTACATTATCCAAACTCTTCAAACTTTTTACTTATGGAGAGCAAGTCATTCTGAGGAAACATGCTTATTTTCATTAATTTACAATGCTCTATTGATAACAGAAAATTAAAAAAACTATTAGACATCTGATCTCATTCTAAGGGGCCGTTTACACGACAACGTTTTCAGCCAAAATAAATGTTTTACTTAATATTAACTACACTTCATAAATGCTGTTTAACTATTATTCATGTTAATTAATATAGTAAATGTTAACAAAAGAAATTAAAGAAAAAAAATACATATTTTATTTATATTGAACATATTTACATATATATATTTTTCATTTATTTGTATTGAACATACTCAACAATATATTTAAAAAATAAATATATTTTTATTTTTTATTTACTTTGCCAACATAAAGCATGAAAAGATAAAAAGTACATTTAGACTTTTTGTTCTCAAAAGCATTCCTAATTACAATGCGATTTCAAACCTGATCCGCTCAATAGCGTGTTAATCTGCGCGTCTGCATAGGTGTCGTGTGCCTAAAGTCATCACAGGTGGTTCAGACCTCGACAACAGAAGCTAAAGACACTCCTCATGCGCTAGTGCTCCAGACAGCTGGACAGACGTTGAGCCGCTAAACTCTGACCGTATGTCTTTTTACCGCTCGATCGATGCCGCCATCTGATATTTTGAGGATTTATTCTTTAAAAAACTAGCGTGGAGTTTGCCGTGAAGACTCGTGGTATAAACAGTATCTGCAGCGGTTCATGTATGTCGACTGTGATGTTGGATGAAGGACGGCTGATATGTGAGCGAGTGTCCTACTTTCAGCATCTGACAGACTGCTTGGCGTCGGATCCAACGGCGAGGACCCTCACGAGGATTACCGCCTTCATTCAAAGCAGGGGTGGTCTGTTGTCCTGCCTGGTTAAAAATGCACAATATAGTCTGAAAAATTAATTGGAAGGAGAAAATCCATAAAGGAGAATTTCTATTTCCTGCTTATTGGTTTCCTTGCATTTAGCTTGTTTTCCCATTTCTTTGAGTCCATTTCAAGATTTTGTTCTCAACTAATTATCAGTACATTCAAAGACGGATGCTTTTATTTTATTTTTTGCTGTTTGCTGTTTTTCACAGATTCGGGTCTAAGCAGTCCTGTCAGTGAAGCCGGTTTTGACTATGAAAGTTAGTGCTCACATCTCGCGCAGAGCTTTGGTGTTTTCTTATCTTTTTTTAATGCGTCTGCCCCACATCCGGAATAATGGGTTGTGTTTTCCAACTACATTTGCATATGACTTTTTTTTCCTCCCTCACAAACTGCCGGATCTGCGCTAATTTTCACTCCCGTAACCCTGGGAAAGTTAAAAGGAGTCGTAATTTCTGTTTGTTTACACGACAGCTGCGTTTTAGGGACTGAAAACGCATATTTTTGAAAACGCCACCGTTATTGTTTCCGTGTAAACACCCAATACGGGAATCTTTGAAAATGGTGACGTCATGCGTGTGCGTAGTACGTGTTAGTTTTTTTTTTTTTGTAGTACGTGTTATGTAGACATGCGCAGTACGTGTCGATTTTAAAGGCAAGCACGTAAAAATTGTGTTTAATTTAATTGTAATTATGTTTTTGTTTTTCTGAGCAAAAAATAAATATCATACATTTTTCCCTGATTTACAGAAGAGACCCACTAAAATGTCATTCAGTGTAACAATCTTGTCAGGCATATTTACAACAAAAATCAATTTATGACATATTAAAAGACTAATTACTTTCACCCCAAATACTAATTAGCTGTAATTTTACATATTTTAAAGTTGCCACTATCCTAGGTTTTGCCCATTTGTCAGTAAGATTTTTTTACTCATTTAAAACACAATCAAATTTAATATTCTCCCTTATTCTTTTATATATTTTAATATGTACAGGTCAGAATAAGCATGTTGTTTGAATTTTTACATAAATATTGTGTTACACTGAATGACAATGTAACATTATTTCAACCAAATTTTGACATTTTATTCTCAAAATAAAATTTATTTGAACCCTTAAAAGTAGACACTTTACTTACATTTAATGTGCTTTCTATGGACATAAAATCACTTTTGTAAATTTCTTTAGATGCGGACATCTTAATGTCTTTGACCCATATATATATATACATATATATAAGTATATACACCAAAGACATTACAAATTGAAGACTGATTGTCCTAGACATTTGTTCTGCATTATGCATCTGTGGGAAGTTAAAATGCAAATGCGGATAACCGTTTCATCTTAATTATGACCGCTTTTAACTTTCATTCGTAACACGGCTTTTAATTTTTCCTTTTAAATTAGTTTTTTATTTATTCTTCTGCTTGTCGATTGCTTTGTTCTCACAGGCTGTTGGCTGAACACTATTAATCCACAGTAAAAGCAGCTGATCATGTAGAGATGGCTCTTCTGTATAATTTTTACACAAGTCTCTCCGCACATTCCAGCATCCTGTCCGTTCAGACCCCCATTCCTCTCTCCACCGATGGGGTCGTTCTGTAGGCGGAGATAACGAACTGAATTAATTAAACTCTCTGCAAACAATAGTCCAACATTTGATACATCCCTCCTGCCCCCCAGCGAGGCAGAGGAAAGAGAAACACGACTCCCTTTTTTTCTTGTTTTTTTGGGGAAATATACTGAGCGCTTTTCCTTTTATATGTAAATGAACAATCGCATAAAATCGTTTCGCGAACAGCGGCAGCGGATATCAAAAGGATTTGTTATTTGCATCACCTGTCAAGTGCAAATAAGAGACTGAAAATATGTAATTAGACAGTTTGCATCTCTCATGCTCACTGATCTTGGGCTTGATTGCATGGAATAAAAAGACTGCAGTGGAGAGAGAGAGACACAGAAATCCTGGCAGAGAGAGCAGACAGGAAATGAACAGAAACAGGAATTTGTCCTTGAAAGAGTTTATATCCTATTGGACCTCGCTTAGACTTTCTAGCGTCTTTCACATAAATACTTGAAACTCAATGTAGTTAATTATAAAAACTGATGAGGTCCTTCACGTAAAGCCACTTTTGTAACGTGTATTTAGTGCTTTCATCTGCCACAGAAAGGTAACGTCTTGGATCATCTTCATTTGGAGGCTTTTTACGGTAAATGTAGATTTGCAGTTATTTGTCACAAAGTTTACTGTGAAAGTTTTGATAACCAAAAAACCTTGTCATCTGCAGAGGTTAAAGCATTTTTTGCACCCCGATCGGATTAAATGTAATTGTTTCTTACATCTTGCAGAGAGAAAATTCCTAAGAACAAACAAATAACAGCTTATTTATGAACACGAGTGATTGTTGTTGACACAGAGCAAAGTTGAGGAACGCGTTGACATCTATGGACATAAAATCACTTTTGTACATTTCTTTAGATGCGGACATCTTAATGTCTTTGACCCATATATATATATATATACATATATATAAGTATATACACCAAAGACATTACAAATTGAAGACTGATTGTCCTAGACATTTGTTCTGCATTATGCATCTGTGGGAAGTTAAAATGCAAATGCGGATAACCGTTTCATCTTAATTATGACCGCTTTTAACTTTCATTCGTAACACGGCTTTTAATTTTTCCTTTTAAATTAGTTTTTTATTTATTCTTCTGCTTGTCGATTGCTTTGTTCTCACAGGCTGTTGGCTGAACACTATTAATCCACAGTAAAAGCAGCTGATCATGTAGAGATGGCTCTTCTGTATAATTTTTACACAAGTCTCTCCGCACATTCCAGCATCCTGTCCGTTCAGACCCCCATTCCTCTCTCCACCGATGGGGTCGTTCTGTAGGCGGAGATAACGAACTGAATTAATTAAACTCTCTGCAAACAATAGTCCAACATTTGATACATCCCTCCTGCCCCCCAGCGAGGCAGAGGAAAGAGAAACACGACTCCCTTTTTTTCTTGTTTTTTTGGGGAAATATACTGAGCGCTTTTCCTTTTATATGTAAATGAACAATCGCATAAAATCGTTTCGCGAACAGCGGCAGCGGATATCAAAAGGATTTGTTATTTGCATCACCTGTCAAGTGCAAATAAGAGACTGAAAATATGTAATTAGACAGTTTGCATCTCTCGCGCTCACTGATCTTGGGCTTGATTGCATGGGATAAAAAGACTCCGCGGTGGAGAGAGAGAGACACAGAAATCCTGGCAGAGAGAGCAGATAGGGAATGAACAACAACAGGAATTTGTCCTTGAAAGAGTTTATATCCGATTGGACCTCGCTTAAACAGACTTTTTAGTGTCTTTCACATAAATACTTGAAATTGAATGTAGTTAATTATAAGAAACTGATAAGGTCATGCACGCAAAAGCCACTTTTGTAACGTGTATTTAGTGCTTTCATCTCCTACAAAAACCTAATGTCTTGGATAATCGGTAAATATCGATGTCCAATTTTAATTATTTGACAAAGTTGACTGTGAAAGTTTTAATAACCAAAAAAGAAAAAGTCATCTGCAGAGGTTAAAACGTTCTTTGCACCCTGATCGGATTAAATGTAATTGTTTGTTACATCTTGAGGGGAGATCATTCCTGAGAACAAACAAATAACAGCTTATTTATGAAATGGAAAAAACGGGGCACGAGTAATTGTTGTTGACACGGAGCAAAGTTGAGGAATACGTTGACATTGGAAAGTGCTAATCTTCCGAGTTTGTTGGGTTTCGATTGGCTTTAGATGGCCTTTCTCATTGCATCATGGAGGCTGTTGGCATTTAGCATGCAGGTCTGAATCTCAGGTTGTTTGCCAAAGTTGCCCTTCGCATCTTCTTCGAGAGTGCTTTGGCATATATTACCTTGGTTCCCCTTAAGGGGAGTCCAGACTAAGAGCTTGGCCAGGCTGATGAGAATAACATTTGTGGAGTTAGAAAAGTGTTAGTGTCCAGATAGTGGATGAGGAAAAACTGTTATTAGCATAGCTTTGTTTTGCATGAAAGTCTGAAAACTAACAGCTAGAACTTTTTTTTCGCATCTTCTTCGAGAGTGCTTCGGCATATATTACCTTGGTTCCCCTTAAGGGGAGTCCAGACTAAGAGCTTGGCCAGGCTGATGAGAATAACATTTCTGGAGTTAGAAAAGTGTTAGTGTCCAGATAGTGGATGAGGAAAAACTGTTATTAGCATAGCTTTGTTTTGCATGAAAGTCTGAAAACTAACAGCTAGAACTTTTTCAGGGCATCCCGAGTGGCATTTGCTTAATTTTTTTCTCATAATGTCCAATCAGCAAGTGACTTTTTCAATCAAACCCAAGCCATTTGCGACGTACTACATTACAAAAAAAACTGGAAGTGAAATTGAGGATGGCTAATGTGATTATGCAGATTATCCATGCTTAATTAAATCACAGTACTCTTCAAGCAAGATGTCAACGTTTGTCCAAATTTTGACCTCATGCTGAAGAAAGTCCAATGCCTTCTATAAAAACATTGGCGACCATTTTAGGAAGAGCTATGTCTGTTTTCTTCCATAATCCATTACTAATTCATAACTGGATTAACTCCACAGCGAGAGGCCTAGGAAGTTTTCGGTCTGAGCAAACAGCAAAACTAGTGCTTGTTTGAGGAAAGGTCTTGTAGGTTGTTGCAGGGATAACATGGGTGACTGCTTCCGTGACATACTTGCTTAGCTTTGGCTGAACTGAAGCAGAGAACATGGCACTTCACTTTGCACCGGTACCATCGGGTCATCCTAACCCAGGCCAGAACTCTCGAATAAACCCCCTACCTTACCCTGATTACCCCCATCATCTCCCCTCCACCTCAAGAGCTTTATTTCCCATCGTGGCGCAAATGAAGGATTACATAAGGAAATTAGTGCAAGCTTCTGCCAAAAGGAAAGCTGTTAGAAATATTAAGGCTAGAGGTTTACTCCAGGGAAAGGCAATATTGTATTTTTCTACCTCTGGCTCACTAGTATTTTTCGTGTTTAGTGTGGAAGCATTCCAGTTCCCCCATGTAGAAATTACATTTGGAATTAAGCTAGCTAGGTGGCCCTTGAGGAGCAGGATTAGACACACTTGGTTTAGGGTAACATAGGGTTAACCCTACAGGATACCAACAAGGATACCATTCCCCTATTCCAGATGCAATGTACATAGCTTCAATCTTGTGTGCTTTTGGCCTTTTGTCTCGCCTTGCTGAAAAACGAGTTTTCAAATTTTGCATTTGATTAAATCTATTACGTTTCAGCTCTGAAGACATGAACGTATTTCTCAAGGGCAGATGGGGTTTTTTTCAATTTATTGTTCCTGTGACTCAGTTTGAAAAGAAATTTGTTTGGTTTCACAAAGGCAACCAAGCACATTTTTCCCCTCGTCTTAGTCTGCTGAGGACAGACGTATGGTTTGTCTTACCAACCAAGTATATGAAGTGTCCTCCTGCTCGTCGTTTTAAGCTACAGCGGAGTGAGAAAGAAGAAATTTCATACTGCAAAACTATTATGAACCATTTGACCCGCTATCATTTTTGTAATTGGTCTGGGGGTTTTGTAGCACCTTAGCAATCGTCCTTAGGTCTTTTCCTTCATATTGTCTGTATAAATGCAGCCGGTTTTTCTGAATTAGGGCGATCCTGATTGGTCCGATTGATGATGTAGAGCTCTGGCCTGGTCACACTGTGTCTCTAACATCACCCGCTGTTCCTCACTCCAGTCCCCACCTCATTGTCTCACCTGCTTGGGTGTCTTCCCCCACCCCAGTCCTGTTTTCTCCACCAACTTTTGGGATTTGGCTTCTAACTGTCTTTCTTGGTCCCGTTGGTCTTTCTGACCTTATCTTTCTGTTTCCTGATTGTTGCACAGGTATGATGAACCACCCTCCTATACCCATCTCTGAGCTAGCTGAGCACACGGATCTACTGAAGGCTAACGACAACCTGAAGCTCTCCCAGGAGTATGAGGTACTGCATATTATACCATTTTTTGTTACGAATAGGATTGTTACCCATTTCAAAAGATGTTGCACTTACATAAAGTGGGTTTTCTTGCTAAACAAATGCGGTGAATTGCTTTTAGCGTTTGCATGGCAGTTACTCACATGCCACAGGGTTTTGCAGAAGGCGCGGATGCCTCGGTTTGGAGTGCTGGGCTCGTAAATGTAGTGGCTCCTGATTAGCCTTCGCTATTGCTGAATCAGCCTTCATTTGCATAGAGCAAATGTCGTCGTCCATCTTAAATCACAGCTTGCTAAGGCAGCACCGCCATCAACACCCCCGTGGCTTAATGCCGTCTTAAATGGCTCCCAGCGTGAGCCAGACCTGATATCTCAGCAGGAACATGGGCACGCTTGAGTTGAGCCAACCCACTATCATTTTTGGGACATTGGTTTAGCATATAGATTAGCTTTAGCTGCATATGCTAACCAAATAACAAACGTCATTCATAAGCAGCTAAGCCTGAGTAGTAGATTGTAGAAAAGGTCGTTTCTGATCTCGTCCACTTGCAAAAAGGGAGTAAACAATGGTGTGATCTGGTAAAGTCACCTTCTACCAGATATTAGTTAATCGTTTCAGAGTTTCAAAAAACAAATTTAAAAAAATGATTTGCTCTGGCTTTGTAAATAAGTCATTCTGCTGAGGAAGTGTTTGGGAACTGCTGCTCTAGAAGAAAAAATTGGAATGAATGTATTCCTTGTGCGTTAGCATGCTAAAAGTAGGTGCTAAATCACTAGCTGCATTTCAATTACCCTTCAAATTGCGCAAATTGAAATTGCTAATTGAAAATAGGCGTAATGGAAACGCATCAATTTTGCAAAAACTTTCGCCCTTTATCGCAAAAAAATGTTTTACGCTTGCATGAGGTGGTTTTTCAGCCAATTCAAAAACGGAATATTTAGCAAAACTGCAATGTAAATGTTTTTTTCACATTTTCAGGTCGCATGGAGTACGTAAAAAGTCATTTGATCATTCTTCAACGTACTATAACCTCCAAGAAACACTTCATACGTGGCCGATCTCAAGTATAAGGGGCTTTCCTTGCCATTAATGTTCGGATAACCCCTTATTTACACTGCATTACGGCTCTGGCCACCGGCGCTGATCACGGCCACTCTAGTCAATGCTTATGTTTATACCAGCCGCACCAAGGCACATTTCTCTCCGCGCTGCTTCTGTAAAGATATACGCATACGCCTCCTTCAATTAAATATAATGGCTAGTGCAGTGGCTGCGATATACATAACCCTACCAAAATCCGTCGCCATGATTTATTGCTAGAGGGAAAAATTACGTTTTAGTCACATAACATCGGTTAACCCTTTACGATCACACCGGTGTGATCAGTCTTGGCTGGTCCCTGAAGCATACGATCACACTGGTGTGATTAGAACGTTCAGTGCGTCAGGTGATCAGCTGCTGAATTTAAATCTGCTTTCGCGCTTTGGCTGGCACGGAGCCAGATCGGACGCGCTTAACGCTTGTCATATTATCACAACTATTCAGTGTTTTCAACCATATAATGCTTATTTTAGGTTTCAGACATTTAAATACACATAAGTACTAGCAAAACCATACATTTATAGTTAGTAAAATACATGCTGATGTCTTTGGAAATGGCAATAATGATCCTTACAAATATAATCTGACGACACGTTTTATTGATATCATATACAGATGTGTAGGTAACTATAAAATTTACTCTGCTCTTCTCTCAGTTTACCGGAGACCTACTTTAACATGTTTCGGGAGGAGAGGATGAATTTGCGTGTTGTAAATCCCACAGCTC